TAAATTAATAATAGCTGCAGTTAATTAAGCTTAAATTTGTGCTATCAGTAAGGAGTAAATTAAACGAGGTAATGAATACAAATTGTACATTTATTATAAATAACATTCATGACATACCGCTTTTAGTTAGAATTAATAAAGTAAATAGAAATTTATGTTAAATCTAAATAATGTGTCATTCATAATTTACTGCAAAATGATAATTTTGAAAATCCTGCTCTTATTACACATTCTACCAAATTGACGATTTTTCAAATTTCATGTCGGTTTTTTATAATTAAGTGATATAAAAAAAGAGCTTTTTGTTCTGTCCATCAAATACGTATAAAGTGAGTTGTGCCCTTGTGTATTGTTATTCTTTTTATTATTCCTAAATTAGATTTTCTTGCTTTCACTTTTTCTTAAATTGCACTTTCGCTTACGAAAACGTAAATGTTTGTAAGATATAAATAAATGGAGTGTTCGCAGTGTGCTGAATTCGTTAAGCCTAAATAACTGCAGATCTGTCATTCATATGGGTCCCTCATACCTTTGGAAGTTTGCAAGTTATGTTCGAAACAGTGGAACTCATGGATGTATCTCACATACATTTGATCTTGATAAATATAATATTTGAATTTTGAACTTCTCACACATTTAATACACTATTAAATAATATTGATCAATTGATACATATTAGTTAAACTATTAAGTATTAAGTACATGACAATATAAATATCGTGATACGTACATTTTTTTATGTTATTCTTGGTAATTCATAATAATATAAATATTGGATGTGTATAAAGAAATCTGTCTAAAAAATATTTTCAGAAAATTATTTCTTTGAAAGAGGCTTTATATCCCGTCGTTATATCTCGACGCATTAAACGCTATCATTGTTCGCTTAATATCATAAAATGTGAACTGCAGCGTTCTGTGCAGATGCACTAAACAAGTTACCGTTGCTATGAATTGTACGTAAACTCATGCTCGTTCATGCGAATTCCATGCACACATCGGATTATTTAATAGTATACGACGCCGCGGCGGTGTAAAATAAAGAGTAAGGCATATAAATGATAATAAATGCTACGAATTACGAGGCACTCTACGTGCCACGTACGACTTGGCGTGCGTAATTTAAGCTCTTTGAAATGCGTTCATCACTTTTCCATTCGGCCCGTTAACGTCGCGGTTACGTCGCGCACTCCTGGTTGGTCGTTACGAGTGGGCTTAATTATATGAAATAATTACATGTCGTAACCGCGCTGGATATATGCACTTACAGACAACCTAAGAGCAATCTCACGCATTGCGCTCGCTCGCGGATTGCGGTAGACCGCGTGCTTGGCGAGGCAGTTGCAGTTGCTGCGGTGTACGGTCCCCTGTGATGCCCTTCTCTCGCAGTTTCTCGTTTAAAAGTGTTGCAAGCTTAAAGAGGAAACTTCCGGAGAGGTTCGACAAATTGAAAGAGCAACTACGCATACGTTTACACTTTACGTAATTATATGCTGAACTCATTAAAAAAAAACACGTACAGTGATGCCAAGCGCATAGTAACAACATAACAAATTTTGAATTCAAGACGTACGAAACTTTTTTTGCGTTGAAAAATTTACGTGCGCAATAAATCGTAGATTTAAATGTTTATCCTTTTCATCGTTTGCTCCTTTTTCTTTTCTTAAAAAATATATTTAGGACCACTTATTTTTAATATTAATTTAATATCAGTTTTTTTCTGTTTCTAAGAAAAGATCTAAGAAAAATAATAATCGTTAAAGTACAATTAAAATTAACTGATGAGGTTTTTGTTAAACAATTTTATTTTTGTATCGTTAATCAAACGGAACACAGAGGTAAAAAATCTCTTTAATCAATAAAATGTACACAGACTAATTTTTTACAATATATATATATATATATATATATATATATATAAATACTTTATTGATTAAAAAAATCTTACTGACATTATTATCTCTTTGAGAAAACTGTGGCTATTTCTTTGTTAGACAAAGGTATCATATCGTAAAAGAAATTTATGAAGCTATAATGTAATATATTTAAGTTATTTTCTTTATTAAAAGCATACTTAGTATTTCCGGCGTAAAACACATGTGGGACAGATGGAAAGCATCGATTGCACAGTACCTCGTCAAAGCCAAGGGAAAAGATACGATATCGTTTCGCCGATACTTCTCGCATACGACGAGGTAAAACTCGTTGTGTAAAGTGCACGATAACTATAGATATTACCGTTTGCGGATGTAGGCGGCTATACCTTGTAACTGCGATTCCGTTTTCGGTTTATTGTACACGGAGACATTTAGATTTGTGTAGTGTTCTTAAGATATGCAAAATTCAATGCAAGAGCGGTTAAAAACAGATTTTAAATCCGAGCTTCTTTAATATATATCTACGTTATAATAAATGTTAATTTGTGCTAATGTAAATTAATATATATTAATATATATTTACGCTATAATAAATATTAATTTGTGTGCTAATGTAAATCGATGCTTATATGTAATATAAGTTCATAGATTTATATAATCTTACACTCAAATTCTCTGGCTAATACAATCCAATCTAATTTATATCATAAGTAAAACTCAAATGTTATTTCTGCGATGGGATTTTAAATTTAATTGTTTGATCTCATACGGATTACACGTTTGCACAAAGTGAGATATCCTAAACCACGTTACGAATCCGCATGAAAATAGCACACTACGATACGCAATATGCTGCTCGATTTAACACACGATTAACGAGATATTCCTAGGAAATTGGACTTGGTATTGCTGCCTCTTCTCGTACGTCTTCCGATATTACGCATCGAAAACTGCAGGGAGCACCCGACCCGCTCGGCGGTGGCGTCTGCGGATGAAAATAAGGCGATTGCCTGAGACGTTCCCGTCAAAGGAAAAGGAAAAAGATGCGATATCGGCCCTATTCGACCCGATATTTTCTCTCGGGTTCTCTCGCGGTGATCTCGCGGCGAAACTCGTTTTGCAAAGTACACCGGGTCCTGGAGATCCGCGTGAGAGACGTCTGCACGAGCGGTAAAGGCGGACGCGAACGGAACGGAATGAACGTACAATCAAATGGCTCGTGGAGGCCCCGCTTACGGGGGATAATCTCTTTGCAGTCATCCGTACGGCAAAGGAAATGATTTGGCGGCCGCCGGCGCATCCAGCGTTCTTCGTATATCTACGCTTCCAAAACTCCGAAACACATTTCGCCCTTTTCGGTCAGATTCAGGGACGGTGCGGTGTGTGTACGAAAACGAATGCCTCTTCAAAGACTCAGACGAGGCGAAAATTTTTTCTCTCTTCTCTCGTGCTCTCCCGCCCGGGACGTGCGAGGGACAATCTTTTTCCCGAACTGTATTTGCAAGCTGAATGGGACCCACAGGACAGAAACTTTTCGCAGAAATTGGGATACTTTTTACAGCTTTCGTGGGATGCTGTTGATCTCCATGGGACTAGATATCCCTTGATATTAATATGTATTTTTACATCTGTGTTGCGCGAAATTATTAATTCTTTTTCTACATAGATATCAAAATTATCGAAGATACAAAAATATTCTTTTTTCATTATCATCTTTACGAAAATGGCAGAGTTTCTTTGTTTAAAGGTAACTTTATTAATGGAGTAAATTTTTAACTTGTAAAATGCATTTTAAAAATTCACCAAGAATCGCTGACTGTATGTTTATTGAATCATTATTACTGTTAACTAAAAAAATCAGTTAAGTTCTCTGTCGTCGGTCATTCGCTGAGGTAAGAAATAAGTTTGTCTAGATATCTGTAACTCCTTTAGAAGTAAAGTATAAGACAGTGGGATGCAATTAAAAGTTCAACAATTGTTTGATAACTTATTGTTAGCCATTTGTGCAACGTCCAATTCTAGTTTAACTTTATTCTGTTCATATTATATATATAACTAAACTTTTATGTTTCTTAAGATAACGAGACTTTTCTAAAAATAGACGGTTTTTGAAAATGAAAAAGTTATTATAGAAATTATCTATATACAAGATATATACATATATTTATTGATTTATTTCAAATATACATCTAGAGCTTTTCACGTATGAATTTTTAATGACAATCGAACATTATGTTTTCAACAATTTTTTAATTATTTTAACGATTAATTTTCAAAATAATTAAGTTTCTTTTTAAAGGCTACTTTTATTACTAAGCTTTAACAATAGCTTTTGTCGCATATAATACACATATATGTATATATATATTTTTCAGATAATTAAAAAAATTATTAAATGATGTATATTAAAGAGAAAATGTTGAATTAGCAAAATGTACGATAAATATTAATATGTAATTATTTTATAAATTTATGAATAATTTCAAACCAAAGTAAAAGGATATGTTGTTTAAAATTATGTGGGTTAAAATTATTTATATAAAACATTATATTTACAACTAAATATTTTCAATGCGTATGACATATGTTTTTAGATACGACTTAGTGTCGTCACGCGGCTTATTGCACGCCATATGTCAGATGGCGACTGACACAACGTTATCCCACGCGAGATAATCCTCGAGTATGATCAATCTATTTTTAAGTGTTCGTTAAACAGTGACGCATTATGGAGTAATAATGTAAATTTTTTCCTCCCTCGGGAAGTACCGATGGAACGGGAGAATATGAAATTAATAACATCGATACGTAAATCGGAAATCATTTCGCGATATCGTATAACTTCCGATTAAATAATCGCATATGAATCACATCCGAATCACGTATCGCAGTTTTTGCTCGTTCTCGAGGCATATAGCAATTAAGGATTTAAAGTAGCGGAAATGTTATATGTCATACCTTGTTACTGATACCACGTGTCCGTTTTTTTTCCTTTTTTTCAATGAACGCGATTTAATAATACGTTATGCAATTTTCGCGATATTATGTGAGAGCGTGGACGATGGGACTTCAACCCCGTTGAAGTAACCATGCCGTTTACGTGAAATTAATAGAAGGATTTACCGGACCATGGTGTTTGTAACCGGACTGAGCGGCTAATAGCGATGCTACTTGCGAGCCCCCTTGTATCCTGACGACCCACTCCTCGCGATGATCTACGTCAGCGTCGGCGTCGGCGATGAAATTGGATGCGGACACAACGATGACGAGCTGTATAATAACGCGCGCGCACACTCTGGGGAATAAGCGAAGTTTCGAATATTAGCGCGATTCTTTCGCTCGCGTCGCAGCGCGGAGGAAAGAAGATTGCGGTAAACTTCCTAAGCGGATTTCTCGCGAGCCATTCTGCCATATATTAAGAATCGATTGTAGACGCGAAAGTATCCAGGCGCGATCCCCGTTTTCACGAATTTTCTCCACGATTCTCGCGGTATTGCCATAATAACGTGATTTAATAATAACGTTTAATATCTGTTTCTGCGCGAAAAAAACGCGGTCAACACATTTTCCCGACTGTGATCGTTAAGCCTGAGTTAATAATGAATCACTGAAATGCGATTAAATCACGAAAATTGAAGGAAGCGGTATTGTATGAAATCTTCTCTGCTCTCTCATGACTCGCAAGAAAAATGATGTTACATCCCGCGACAGCGAATTTGACGTTGCACTCGTTGATCCTTTGTATATACTTATCACTTGGGACGCACGAGGCGCATTCGCGCGGCGTACAAAAACTACTTATCATCCGCGCTCGTGGCAGTCGTCGGTCGTACAATTTTCAAAAGAGACGATACGCTGTTCCCACTGTTGTCGCGCCCGTAACACGTACCTGACCGCCATAACGATTTTCCCGATGGGTAGACAGGGGGAGCAAATAAATAGCGACGATCGCAATTAATACTTTCGCCGCACTACGGTCACTCCTCGCAGGAGGCGCCCGTCCTTTTTCTTATCACTTTCTTCGCGATACTGTTCCCCCGAGTTCTGACAGCCCCGTCCGATTTCTCTGCCGCGCGCGTACCGTCTACGCGACTGGAAGGACAATGGCGATGGAATTCGCCGGCCCCGGCTATTGGATCACGAGTGACAAGTGATCGGACAGTGTGCGTGGCAATTAACCGCGATTGTCTTTTTGTCCGTCTGGGGAGAGAGAGGGGAGTTTCTCGTCGCCCTCACATCGCACCACGGCTATAGGTGGACGAAGCTGAGGGATTGGAAGGGTAGCGGATTAAACTAAGCAAACATGACGTAGCGGACGCGCGTGGGATGGAACAAGCCGGGTGAAAACGATTTGTGATGAGGGATTCCCGACTGTGAGCGAAATTATATTGCATTGCTATTGTTTCCCTGTAAATGGAATAAAATATTATTTTACGGCCGACTTCTACTTTTTTCATTACAGATAATGTAAAAATTATCGATAATGATATAGCTTTACGTGACAGATGGAGCAGCTATTGTAAAATATAATCATAGGCATCTGATTTTATAAAATCAATAAACTCTCTATTATATCTATATAAATATTTAATTTTAAAAGTTTAATTTAGTGTTGTGCTATTTTGTAATCGTAGCTTACATAAATATACAAGTATATACATATATGCAAGTTTGCATGTAATTCGGATTAAACGGAGCATTTCTGAGTTCCGATTCTTAACAAATATTTTTTTTTCTACCGTTTTAGAGGTTGTTTTCGCATTTGTATACTTTGGTATAAAACGTAGAAACAGCCGTTAAGAATTTTTATCTAAATATGATCTATGATAAAAGAAATTTTTTTATATTTCAAATATATCAATTAGAAGGAAGTCAATAAATAATCAAGCATCTCATGCTGTAGAAAAGATAAAATTTTTTTTCTATTAATTGGTATACTCTTAAATAAAATATATTGATTGGAGGAACAATTTAATGAATAAAACGATCGCTTTTAGAATGACAAGCGATCGAGTCGTATGTACACATGGCAATTACTTGGGATGTTGCTCTAAGGTATTTTCTTGTTTTCTTAAACGGGACAAATAAAGGTCAAGAAAAACTTGGGATGCAAGTTACAACGTGTGCAATTACTTCGTGATCTGTCCGTTTTTAGGCTCTAGTCAATCTTCATATTACTTTTATCTGTTTTCATCATTAGACTTTTATCTGTTTGTAATTATTTAATTAAATATTTGAAAATTTTCTGTTTTTTTATATTCCTGTTTCCTTTGTTTTTTTGTTCTCTTCATTTTTTGTAAAGAGCGTCGAGAAGAAATTGGATTAATTAAGCACAAAAGAGATGTTTTTTTGTAAAAAAAATGTTACAAAAAATAATAAAACTTTGATTTTATATAACTATTGTATGTTTATATTTAATTCATTAAAACTTTTGTTTTATTCTCTGTTATTAATTCTCCGTTTTGTATTACTTGAAACCGTTCGTATCACACGACTTTGTTTTCTATAATTGAAATAACGCATTAGAAAACAGATGGATGGATTAAAAGAGGAGACACTATCTATTATCCAGGCAAGTGTGCGTTGGTAATCCGAGCAATAAAGTTCGCCGGCTGAGTGACAACAGGTCGTAAGAGTGTGCTCGGCAATTAGCCACGCTATTTTTTCCCTATCTGTCAGGGATTTTTATTTTTACCTTCTTTTTCTTAACATTACGGACTCGGAATGAGAGCTGAAATTTACGAATATATTACCAAATATTCTATAAATAAAATAATTGAAGAGATACTAAGCTGCGATATTGATAATAACCCACGTGAGATAAAGCGTGCGTGGTTATCTTAAAAAAATCGATAAAGTTAATTGCAACTGCCGCGAGCGCCGTGCCACCTTTTAGTAAAAAGAAGTGATAGGCGTGACATGAAAATATTGGCATAAGCAAAATTTAAAAAAAATTCTCTTATAATATACCTATCCTGTATATCTACAATACGTACTTCCTTTTTACCTATTTTTTAAATAGCAATTTTCACTTTTTAAATTAAGGAATATAATAATATTGTATATAACAATATAACAACAATATTTCTTTACGTAAAATTAATAATAATTAATTATATATCGAAGAACGTTGTAAACCTTCCGGAGCCAAAACTCAACATAACTAGACGTATATATGCGGAATGTAATGAGAATTCGGATCGACACCGGTTTGAAACAAGACATTCGTTGTCGAGTCCCACGAGAGCCCGCGGAGGAGAATGGCGTGCGGCAATTTTGTTGGGGAAATTATTCCGAGCCATTGCCCCACGAAATAGGTTAGTTGCAATGTAATTGAGACATGAAATAACAGTATCAAACAGATGCTTTACGTCGCGCTTGCCCGTATGATTCCCTCAACGTAATCTGAATACTCATTGTCAGTTACACCGGCGTTTATGATATCAAAATTAATGACGTCGAGTTTCAACGTCCTCCACGTCTCTCTGTTTGTTAAATTGAAAATCAATGTATCTAAAATTCTGGATGTATGTAATGTATCAAAACTTAATTTTGCAAGCTTGATTAATAATTATCCAATCGTAATCTTTTAACGAATGGATGTTTCAGGACGGTATTTAATAATAATTAATTATTTCCTTTTAGATATCAAATATTTGCATAGAGATTAGCTTAGAGTTATAGTTTACATCAACTTTCTGATATTCTTCATATTGAAAGATTATAGATTAAAAATCAGGTTTCTTTAGAATACTTTAAATACTTGAATTTTAATGTACGTGAATTGATGTTTCGGATATTAATATTTATTTAGTTTACGTTTATTACATTATATTTAAATTAAAGAATTTAATAATAAATATAAAATATGAAAATTATGACATTATACTTATAATATTTGTACAAAAATCTGTTAAATCGGTTAAATGATTTACGCGTTCTTCTGTCGTGTATATCATAAAAACACTAATTTTATGTAACTCGTAGTAGCTTTCAGAGTTATAGCTTTATCTGATAATATAGTTAGAGAAAAAGAAAGAAACTCAATTAAGGATACAGTGTTAAATGAAATCGAAGTAACAAGATCTTACGTGTTAATAGTTAATGACAGTAACAAAAGAGATAAGAAAAATGTTTTTTTCTCCTTTCGCTTATACGAGAAAATACGCAGTACCTATATACTATATATATAGTAAAACGATAATTTCTTTGGCCTTAAATACTTTCTAAGAATTAATTAAAACGATAAGTATATTTATCTAATTTTAAGACATTCTACTCGTTTAGGTAGTTTACTGAAACAAGATTTTCCCATCTCGGTAATGGAAGAAGTTAAGCCACGTTGATAAAGAAGTAATAAAGAAACATGTACTTATTATCTATGTATAGATAATAAGTACATGTTTCTTTATGTATATATATATATATGTAACGCTGTAATACATAAGCCAATTTATATTCTTAGGAAGCAGCGCGCAAATCTTACTCCATTTCGCGCCTAAATCGAGAGTTAACATTAAACCAATGTGAAGTAGATACGCGCTTCGCAGGTTACGCTCGGAGTAGCGTAACACGTAAGCGCATTTAGACGCGGATTACCATTAAGTAAACGCAATTTAACTTTCGGGATGTCACGTTTAATCGACCCGCGTTTAGACTGTGTACCCTCCGCCGACGCGTGATTCATTTCAAGGCGCATCGTCAGCTAATTAACATCTATATGCATATGCTTCATTTCTGATTTGTTTCATTTTCGCGGTACGGTAACTCAGCAATTACGAACGACTGGTTAAATGCCGTTATGCGGCCCCGACTGTGTAATTATGTCGGGCATTCTGCAGGCACACGTACCGAGTGTACTTCCGTATGGATTTAACGTTGATACGGAATTTCACTCGCATATTGCCAGCCCCGCCGGTTTCTGGAGTTGGCCGTCGCCTCGTGGGGAAACCTTCCGCATACGATTTAAACTGCCCCAAATCCTAGATATAATCCATTTAGGGCCGCCTGTACCAACGTCGCTTAGAGCTAAGTTCAATTAAGTTAATTAAACTTTCCTCCTTCTATCTATATTATAGGAAGTGCAAGTTAAAAAAAATGACGGCAAATCACTAAGCTGGCTTTACTCGGTTCAAATTATATTGAGATCTGCAGGCGTGACATGTTTGCGACTTCGAAATAATTAAAAATATATGCGTAAAATTTCGACCGATTATTCCTCTCTCAGAGATATATGTATATATTTAAAATACGAAAGAAAATTTAGTCTTATTATGTTATTAAAACTACAGCTAAAAGCAAACTATTAATTAACAGATAATTATTAAGTTCAGCATTTATTAATTATCAGAAGAATCTTGTGAGAAATTTGCAATTAAGAATATCCCTCATATACGCACGCCGGAATACGTACGGAGCCGTAAATATTCCGACATTATGCTATCCGACATTTGCTTCCAATACCGCTCTTCGAGTAATTCCACCGACAATGGCCATCGAGGATTCCCGCGTCCCTCCCCTAAAATCCCCGACATGAGCATCAGCTGAAGCATTTCCTTATTCGAGTGGAACGACGACGCGGCATTACAAATCCGCGTAATTGAAATACGAGCGTGACCGAGCGGGTAAGAGGCGTTTTACAGTTTTCGGTCGGCGAAACGACTCCACTTTGTCGTTCTCCCGAGGGTAATGCTTATAAATAAATTCGGCCCTTTCTTTTTTACTGTCTGTCCCCGGGATAGATATATACGCAGGAAGGAGACACGCGCGCGCGAGGGGTGGCCGATAAAAGCCGAAACAGAGAGCCGGCGAGCGTCGTAAAGTCCGCGGGAGAGAGAGATGAGAACATCCGCCGATAAAAGGGACTCGTTTCGCTTCAGCTCACGTTGAATTTGGGATAAATCCTTACACTCTGTCTCTCTTTCTCTTTCCTTTCTTCTTACGCAGATTTTTCCCTTAAAGGAACAAAAGAATTACGACTGCGTAACTTCTGTTTTTTTATCGACACTTTTGGTAAGGATATTGCACTTAAAACGATGACCCTGCTTCTCGGCTACTTATGCGAAAACTTCGACGATTGCGGCGAATGATATATTCGTTCAAGTTTATAGTCTGTATTATATACGATAACTGCCTTATA